CTTACTCAATTTTTTTACTTTAAAATTTCTGTAAATTATAGAGTAAAATAGCTTATGAAGAGTCGAATTTTCACGTTAATTCTGAATTTTCAAAATTTCAAAGTTTAGAATATTTTCGGTGTTTACCCTACGACGACAAAATTAAAAAACAGAAAATTTTACTTGAAATAAAATTCGTTCCATAATTTGTTCTTTCATTAAGATCATTACATTTTTTTTGAAAATTTTGGTAGTTTTCTTGGCAATATTGCGTGCAAATTTTAAAAAAAAAATACAAAAATACAATTTTCTCAAAAAAGCGTCCAAATTTTTCTTGGAGGATGCTGCTAAATTCACGCGATGAAAATGGCTAAAGCCATATTGCTCATATACTTTATTTTTTCCAAAAATTTACAAAAAACTTGTATTTTTTTTCACTTCTCTTCACGTTGCCTTCTTAGTATTTACATTAGCGGCAATTTGTTCACATTAATGCTATTTTGTGAGTGCATGTGCTTTAAATAAAGTCAATGTAAAGCTAAACTCAACAGTTCCCTATCAAAACATAGCTAAAAATTTTCCCCATTTATCAGAAACTCTCAAACGCCAATTTCTTCAAAACTACTCAAATTTTTTCTTTAAACGTTTTCGAAAGGATAGTGTTAATTCCACCTTTATATGAAGATAAAGTTAATTTTGGATATTTTTTGTTTTTTTCAAAAATCACACAAAACGTAATAGTTTCGAAAATCTCTCACCCGTAATATTCCACATTTTTAGCAAAATTGTAAAAACACTATTGTTATTTGTGAGATAAAGTGCTTCAAAATGTATGCAAATAAGAGTTGTCGAAAACTCAAAATTGTTATGTAAAAAAGTGCTCCAAATTTAGAATTTACTGTAGCGTTTGAGCCCCATTTTCTTTAAAACCCACTCCAAATTTTTCAAAGAAAATTTCCATTTAGACAGTCGTTCACTTTTCTTTAATTTCTTAAAAATATTTCAATTTTATTATCAAGAAACAAAATAAAAAATTTAAAAAATGTACTTGGCGGCGATTAGACGGCAGCAGGCGAAGTATGTGGTAAGTTCGGAAAAGCAGCGGAGACGAAAAGAAATAGAAAACTAATACGGAAAATCTGTGCCATTCTGTAGTTTAATTTTTTAAATAAGCTTTTTATTATATTATTATTATTATTATTATATTATTATTATTATTATTATTTTTAAAGAAAACTATCAGTGTCCTGCCCCTTTGCGCCGAGCGTTAGAGACAACGCCTCATTTTCTTTCCGTCCTAGATTTCTGTGCACACTTTGGACGAATAATTTGCTTTGTGTGTTAATATTAAGGTTCCTTTTTGGTAAAGTTATCACCTTTCCATCAATCCAGATGAAAGATTTCCTGAAAATAATATGTGCGTTTACTGTCCGTACACCCTACTACGAGTATTCGTCTAATATACTAGTGTAGACCAAAGTTTAGGTTACCCTATACGAAAGTGTTTTTTTTTCAAAACGTCCGTCCTCCGTCAACCAATAACAACGTTACATTGGCATGAAAACCCCTGGACATTTTGAAATTCCTCAAAAATAACTTCATTAAAAAAATTGTAAGAATATAGAGAAATTCACGAAAAAAGATGACGTATGTATCACGCTATCACTGTGATTTTCGGAAAATCAGAAAATGTTTGAATATGTTTTCCGGTGCCATTCCTACTAATACAATATCAAAGATTATTTTTTTTTGTCTTCAAATTGAAATTTATTCGTCACAACTTATTCTTTATTTAATTGTCGTGTTCCTGTTTCAACGCAAGGTGGTTTTTCACAGTTTTGAGAAAAATTGATATTTTAAAAAGATTTTCTCAAAAACAGCTCAATATTCTTTGAACCTTTTCTATAAGACAGCTCTTAAAAGCATCTGAAACATAAGCTTCAGTATTTATTTGATTTTCGCAAAATACCATAGATTAATTTTTTAAATATCTCACGTCGTTATTATATTTACAACTAGCGGACCCAGCCAATCTTCGCCTATTGATAAATACCATTTCATATTACTACTGTTAACATGATTGTTAATGCGTTTTAATAAATGATTTCTCCGCAGTATGAGTTTATGTCCTGGTTTGGATAAGTGCCAAGCATCCTATGTAAACGTTCCCCTCAAGTTGGAGCATGCATTTGTTACACATTATACTGTCGTCGAAAATTTTATTTACGTGTCCGAGACAACGTGAAAGTAATAATTTCGCTGCATATTTCACAATCGGGGCAGAATACGCATTAATACTTGGAGGTGCGCTGGTCTTGCGTAGAAACTTTTTGCTCAGGGGGTTGGGTCAGCCAAAAAAAAAAGCATAAAATCATCAGAGGCGCGCCTATGTGCGACAGACGTACTCTTCATTCCCTTTGTACTATGCAGATTCTTCGCGCAAGTTGCAAACAAGAAGTAGACTAAATTTCACCGACCATCGTAATGAACGGATACAGCAGCACAGTAAGCAAACAAATCTGGATTTTTATTAGATAATTGTTTTAGTTTATTCAATTAAATTAGTATTGCTTTTGTAGAACGAAGTGCTTCAGATGATTCTTATTATTCTCACTGTTCATTTTAATTTAATCACACATCATAATAATAATTTCTTCTCATCTGTAGTTTACAAATGCTTTTTACAATGAAATGCTTTTTTAGTTTTAATTATTTTTCTTTGTATGTCCCATGTCGATGCTACAGAACAACAGGAATGTTGGCGTTTCACTTGAGTAGAGAATGCAAGTAAGGTCCTTCATTAAATTGACCACTAGTTCATTATCATCAATTTTTAATTTTATTTATAAAAGTTGGCCTCGAATATCCTAAACCTTTTCAGTATCCAAAACTCAGTACTCATGTTTCAATGTGTGTTTTATTTTTATTGACATTGGAAGAAAAAATACAATAATGTTTTTTTTTTTATGGATAGTGACAATCACTTAAAATATTTCTGATCATTTTGTCATAAAGATACAAGTAACGCATACTGTAATAACATTTTGACAAAACAATGATTACACAAAATTGTTGTTGCATTGTTATTTTAAGGATTTTTCCCCCCGCCTGGTCTGGGGCAATCCTGGTACAGAACCTTTTCTTGCTTACTGATTAAGTAATGAAATGTTTCTAGCGTACTTTCTGTATGTCTTGCAATAAAAATGTGTAGTGAAAGTATAACCTGAAAGTAAAATAATTAAAAACTACTGATGAATTATCAGTCCATTTGGTAATTGCTTTTCAGAATCAAGAATAAAAAATGTTAAAAAAGAAACTTCTTAATATTATTTAGAAGGTCTGTGTTGTTCTTAAAGTTTCCTGAAACTTAACTGAGCATCTCCAGTCCAAGGAAGAATTATAATTTCAATGGATCAATAAGAAAGAAAATGTCACTAAAAGGTTTAATTTTTAGCACTAATTATGCTATGCAACTCTGGTGGACCAAACCCAAACACCTCATTTCTAAAAAGTTTTTCTTAATTTCTCAGAATATGATGGAAAACTGGGTGATCATGAAATCCTCGCAATGCTGATAACAGAAAAACGACTCTGTAAATGATTTTTATGGAAATTATTTCAAAAACATTTTCTCTTTTTATAGAACTGCAGCCTTATACTTTCTGCAGTGGCCTGCGGCTGTGCTCTCCATGGCTTACTGGGTTTCCTGCCACCTCGTCCACTAAGAACGTTGCTGCACAACGAAGCCATTTCATAATTACCTTTCGCATCCTTTGCCCGTTGCCTTTCCATGGTCCTCAACTTTACCCATGACCACTCAGTACCGCCCTGACAAAGGTGGTGTGTGTGGGCCAACCACACCTCTTCCCATTGATATTATCACTGTTCTACAGAATCTTGTTTCTCTTTGGTGAGTTCATATGCATCATCTGCTGGTTTAGGACGATC